CCAGACTCAAATTCAATAACTTAGAGTTACTGAGGTTTACAAGTTTTTTTACTTCCTATCAAGACATGATATAATAATAGTTTAAGTTCATGGAGCATTACAAAATGAGAAAGTTATTCTAAAAATATTTCTTTACAAGTTCATCAAGAAGTCATTAGCAAGTCTCTTTCTTTCAGTTTGTGAAGCTTCTTATATAGTAATCCAGATGAAAATGACCACTGCAAAACCTCGAGGGTTCCTCACAATCTTGCATTATCTATTTTCATTACAGGTTTCTTAAGATGAGAATTGTTTGGTAATGTATTAAATTCTTACATTAATCGCATGTTATCAAATTGTCACTTCTTATTTGATTAAGGGGGTTACTTATCAACTTTAACATACCAAACGAACTATCTGTGGTGTGCGTTAGTGAAGAGCAAGTTCTACATTGACTTTTGTTAACTATCTCTTTGATTTTAAGGATCTATTTGTCCTTGTTTCTCATCTATAAGCATGACTTTATTCACTTAAAAAAATTTGTGAGTTCCAACGAGCTTTCATAATTTGATATGTTAAAGAACCAGGTTAAACATACAACATGTAGTCATATTAATCATTATAAGAAGAAGAAAGAATGGCTCCAACCTTCAAACAACAAAAGCTCCATGCCAAAACACTGATTCTCAACTTCAAGTTTCAAATCCATAGTCCAACAACAATCCACATCTACCAAAGAAATCTAGAAAGAAGAAATGAAGAGGAAGGTTTCAAGAACTAAAGTCTATCTCTTTATAGTCTCTTTAAGGTTCAGAAGAATATGAACTTTTGAAACTCAATTTTTAATAGAGACCTTGTATATCTTTCCTCATAGAATCAATTGAACCCTTGTTCAGAGAATCCTCAGAATTGATTAGACTATTGGGATTTCCTTAGCTCTCAAAGCTACTCAACACACCATAAGCACCTTACATAAAATTATTGTTAAAAAGACAACGATAATAAATCAAAACTTATAGTGTTGCACCTATTTTTACAAAATATAGAATTTTAGTTCTACCATCAATTTAATATTCATTGATCATTAAATTTTAACTTTTTTCAGTAACTTATTACTACTTATAAAAGTAAGGTGATATTTGATAATATGACATATAAGAATAAAATTTTAAAAAATAATACACAAAATATCCTTGTTTGTATATATTTGAATGAGTGATTTATTTTTATTTTATTAAATAATAAAATTTATATCTATGGTTTTTTTAATTTATTTATAAATGTCATGTTAGTAAATATCATATCAATTAAGTATATGTAAATGTTAAAACATAATGATAAATAGATGTCAAATTGATGGGAAGATCAAAATTTCATATTTTTAAAATTAGAGAGACTAAATGTTTATATTTTAAAATAGAGAAACAAAAATTACGGATCAATAAAAATAAAAGGACCAAAAACATAATTTAATCAAAATTTAATTAATTCAAAATTAAATCTTTAATTTTTTTTTCACATTTCTTTAAATTAAATATTATTTATTATATATTATATTTTATTCTTATTTATTGTATTATTAACTTTTTATCCTTACAGTAATATAAAAACAGCAATAAGAATAATTTAGGTTTGTGTTAGCCTTGCACGTGAGCCCAGAGAGACGGCGAAGAACACGATAATAGATAAGCAGTATACTAAAAATTTAATTTTGTAAAATGATTAATATATGGCTCCAACAAGGAGATTCAAAAGGGAAAATATTTGTTTTTAGGGTAAGTTGAAAAGATGCATCATGCATGGGTTTTATTTGCTTGTGGGGGGAACGTCCTCGTCGTTGAAAATTCATAATTTCTTATACCACATTGTCTATCAGAAAAAAAATCAAAATATTCGTTTAATGGTGAGTTGGAATGGGCCTACAATATATGCGTTTTATTGGCTTCCGGGGCAATGTCATCTTAGTTGGAAATTCATAATTTCATGCACAACAATGTTTACCAAACTTAAAAATAATAAAAAAATAAAATATATATAATCAGTCAAATAGGTGGTTGTGTCGAATATATATCAATATTACACAAGTTAATAATACAATTAGGACTCAATAAATATTTCTAGAAAACATATAGAGATTAAATAAATAAACTTTTTAATTAAAATAAACTAATGAGTTTCTAGTTTTTAAAACTTTGAGATATATAATTTAATAATAATATTACAAATAAAAATTAATTCACTTTACCTTTTTATTTTAACCTCTAATAAGCAATTATGATAAAGTTATTTTAATTATAAACATGTAATCCATATAAATTTAATAGAAGTGATTTATAGTTACCACAATAGCTATAGATAATAAGCTGACAAATATTATACCAACTTTGACCCTCAAAGAATGCGTTGTATTAAAATATTGAAAGCAGTACTTAAATTAGTTGGAAGTCTATTGTATAAAAATGTGTTTGATGGTTAAGCTTTGTAAAGAAATCAACAAAAAGAAGTGATAAGAAAATACCTTAATGTTACTCTTTAAATAAAAACTAAAATCAAAATATTATTTGATCAAGCAAATTAAGAGGACAAGGCTTTATTTGTATTTTTCTCGTGTTTTATATTGTATATGGCGAATTCCAAAATTTTATTTAGTGAAAAAATAATTTTTTAATATTTTTATAAAAAAAATATTATAAAATTTTACAAAATACACAATTTTGGATATATTTGCCTAGTTGTGTTACCGACTTCGTCTTAGCATATGTTCAGTAACAATAATGAGATAATTAAAAAGATAAAATGGTAAAGTTAATATTATTTTTTCTTTACTTTTATAATTCTTTTGACCTTTATTTAGATGAAATATATTATTGGCACAACACTTATTTTTTTAATAGAGAAAAAATTATTTAAACATAATTAAGTTAAAAAATATTGTGGGGACAATTGTCCCATACAGGTATACATGTAATCTACCCGTATATGGTTGGACGTCTTTTTTTTTACAATTTATTCAAACCAAACACACCTTTTATTTATTTATTTATTATTTTCAAGTTCAAAGTCCAGTTAAATATTCCAAAACAGTTTCATGTGGTTGGATGACTTTTTGACACTATTGGATTCTTCAATGTTCATATTAGGGACTTTGTTGGAATAGTATTTGAAGCTGGCTGCAAATGCTCCACCTTCAATTCTAACTCCCATTTTATGACATAAGTGTGTAAAACTCATATTGGACGATCGTTAACCAAAAATTGATTTGTGATTGGTTCGATCACTTTATCTAACCAAATGTGCATTTAACATGTACTTACATCATCAACGACTACACCAACGCAACATTTTTTTTACTTATATCATATTACAAGTTAAATCTTCAACTCAAATAAGTCGTGAAATATGACATATATGGCCATATACGCGTTAGTTGATTCTTTCTTTGTGATTGCTAAGGACGGTAGGCATGAAAAATTAGAGGTGAATTGAGTAATTAGTAATGTTTTTAAAATTAAACTGGATATTGAATTAGTTTAGATATTGATTCAATGTTTAATAATTTAACTGTCATCAAATTGATATTAATAAGATAATATTAATAATAACTGTTATTAATAAAATAATATTAAATAAATATAATATTATAATTATAATATTAAAAATTAAAATAAAATATTATTTATAAGTTCTTAATATTTAATGTGTATGTAAAAATTTAAATTAAATATAATATATATTTAAGTTTAAATTTTA